ACGTGAACAATCATCGATTTACATCGACAAATACATGTTAAGGACCTGTTATAAGGCCACAAAGTTCCAATTAAAATGCCTACGAAAGATCGGGTGAAAAAAAGAAAGCAGGCTGAGATGATGGCCGCTGCTTCAAAGACCCAGAAAATAACCACATTTTTTAGGTAATTTCGCTGGTTATGCATGTCTTTCCCAATCATACCACATCTATTGTTATCGAAATTATCTGTCATTACTTGACGTTGTAATAATTTATAATAGACTGTAATAATTCATAGAAGATTGAAATAATTGATACCAGATGTGCATTGAATTAAAGTGAAAACAGAGAAGGAGTTAGAGCATAAACTGTACTGTCCTGCAGCTGCTGTTACGGGACAGTTCGTAGTGGCTCATGGAAGTGTTGCGGGACAGTTCGTAGTTTTAAACAGTTAGTTGGCTTGAATATGGTCACTCATGCATTATTTTGAAGTTCTGTTAGTCATGCTAGTGTTCAATGTCTCAGTAAAAAAAATGTTCATTAAATTAAAGTTTTTATCACTGACAATAGCTGGTTTTGTTTTTTTCATAAAACATTTCGTCATTACTGAGTAGGTGAATGAAGGCAACAGCATCTTTTTTTTCAATAGCTAGTCTAACACTATTTCACAGGGTGCTAATGCATTTATTGCCCTTGAAAATGTCAGAATGCTAAATATTTCATGTGTCCGGCTATATACCTTTTTTCCTCAGTGCCCTGGCCAGTAATTCTTGATTGCCTTGGTGCCCTCCGAACCTACGGGAAAATGCCTTAGTGCCCTCCTATATTTGAGGGGATAAAAGGCAAACATTGCTGTGCCCCCCGAACAAAGTAATTCTACCCCTGCAACTTGGCACCTCTCACACCTTTGACACCACTGGGCTATCTCAGAGGACATGCCTGGCCAGTAACACTGCTGGCACAACAGTTCCAATGTTCTTTCCGTACCTGAGTCAGCACCTTGTTCATTAGACAACAACAGCAGAGATGTAGCCTCAGCACCATCGGGGCGAAAAACCTGCCAGTACAAGAGCCCATTCTTTTCGACTAGGCAGTGCCTTGCTGGCCTTGAGAGTTGTTTCCGTTCCTTCGCATCAGGACATTTCCCCCGATTCCAGAACAGCAAGATTTCCTGAATAACTGGGTCAGCCTGCTGGAGAACACAAAGATCAGGTGTAGGGCAAGGCATTCTTATTACTTCTCCCCGACCGATACTTTATCTCAAAATCAAAGGATGCAAGCTGCGCCACCCAACGTTGCTCAGTAGTACCCAACTTAGCAGATGACAAATGACTGAGTGGGTTATCAGTGTAAACAATGCACTTGTGGCCCAACAGGTACTCCCTGAATTTCTCCATCAAAACCTACTTGAGCGCCAAACATTCTAATTTCATGGAGCTGTAATTTGACATATTGCGCTCCTGGGGTCTCAGGCCTCAGCTAGAATAGACAATTGACCTCACCTTGCCTCCTTGCTCCTGCGACAGCACTACCCCTAAGCCAGCATGGCTTGCATCCACCTCCATGATAAACAGTAAGAAAAAGTCAGCATAGGCAAACACGGGTGCAGTGGTAAGCTTAAGCTTCAACTCCTCAAAACTTCTATGGCACCCCACAGTCCTGTTGCCAGCAACACCCTGCATTGCCAAACAAACTTCCAGCCCCCCCCCCCCCACTCTGCCACCAACCTATGTAAAGGGGCTGCCAACTTGGCAAAACCCTCCACAAACTCACAATAGTAACTAGCGAACCCCAGAAAATATCTCAGCTCTCTTATGGTAGTGGGACACTGCCAGTTAGTTATGGCCTCTATCTTTCTGGAATCGGTGGCGATGCCCTTGTCCGAGATGAAATGGCCCAGGTACTGCACCTTCTGCTGGAAATACGAACATTTGGAGAGCTTCACCTTTAAACCCTCCCAATGAGGCCATCCCAGTACCACATCCAGCCTCTGCAGATGTTGCTTCATGGGGGACGAAAAGACCATAATATCATCCAGGTACAGTAGCAGTGACTGACATTGCTGGTCACCAAATATCATTTGCATCAGTCTCTGTAAGGTGCTGGGGGCATTACAAAGCCCAAAGGGCATCCGGTTCCACTCAAACAGCCCAAATGGGGTGCAGAACGCAATTTTGGATCTGTCCTCCTCAGCGACTGGGACCTGATTGTAACCACTTGCTAAGTCCAGAGTAGAAAACCAGTAAGCACCCATCAGCGTGTCCAGGGATTCCTCAATACATAGTAGAGGGAATGCATCCTTCTTTGTCTTGCCATTTAACTGGCGGTAGTCTATGCACATACGCAGACCACCATCTTTCTTTTTAATAAGAACAATGGGGGTGGCATAGGGACTGCAGCCCTCCCAGATCACCTGTGTTTCTAACAGTTGATTGATGTTCTCTTTCACCACATCATACTGAGACAGAGGTATACGCCTATAGCGTTGCCTAATGGGGATGTCATCTAAGAGTGGAATATCGTGGGCTAGCAAGTTAGTACAACCCACATCCCCCTCATGAGTGGAAAAGACTGAGATATACTGCCTAAGGAGGGACCTCACCTGGCCCTGCTGTTCAATGGGAAATGGCCGCCATCTGATCGAGATGCTACATCCACAATACAAGAAGGCACCTCAGCAACACCAGCAGGTAAGCTGACCGAACACTGTCCAAGGTACCTAAAATGGTGCGGGGGTACAGCAACAGCAATCAGTAGAACCTACATTAATTACTGGTAGGTAAGCTGTGCGTCCTACGACCTGGACTAACGCAGGAGAAGCCAGCAATCCATCAGATAGGCCAGAGGATGGAGGTTCGAACAACACTGTAGCACTTGCATACTGCCCTGAACAGGTGGCTGCTACCAACTTCATCATACCACAAGGGATACGACATCCCTTACTACCCCGAACCTTGAATTTACCCGGGATGCCACTAGAGGACTGTACTGTAGAACTATGGCATGGTTGCAATGCCTGCATAACAAACTTTGGGGCTGCAGATACTGCAGGCAACTCAAATAGGGCCAGACCATGCTGTCCAAAAAGCTTTTGATAGCAATAACGGATCACATTCATCCCCACAACACCAGGGACCAGAGGATGAATCACTTGGAGGGTCCTTGACCACTAATATCCCACACTATGGCATTATCTTACCGCAAGGCTCAACCTCCAACTCTAAGTAGCCAATTTAAGGAATGGCTAACCCATTGGCTACCCGAAGTTGCAGCCAGTGACAATACTGAAAGCATTCCTGACCCCATGGCTCAAAGTGCTGAATAAAAAGCTTTCCGTAATCGTAGACGCCATAGACCCAGTGTCTATCAAGCAAGGAACTATAACCCCACCCAACACCACATCTAAATGCGGACACGACAACATCAATTTGGAAGCAGCTCCTAAACGCTTAGAAACATTCTCTGAGCCAGTAGAAGCCCTACCCGAACGTGGCTCTGCAATCTGGTGGGCACTAGGTTTCCGATGCTGGTGCTGGGTGAGACTCTCCCACAGAGCATGAGGGTACATGCGAGGACTGGGAATGGGGAGGAACATGAATCCCATTGCATTCCCTAGCAATATGACCAGGCCACTGACAGCGTCTACATATGATGAGACTACTACGAGGTGAACGCCTGCGCTGACGAGAGCTCTGCGAAAGGGCAACACTCTGGGTAAGTAGGTGAAATTGCTCTTGTTGGCCCTTCAATAATTCCCTCAGCTCACGCATCTCAGATCCCTGGACGGAATTAACCACACCCCGAGGACTGCCCTGAACTCCATACTGGATACTGAAAGCTGATGGGACAGAATGACTTCGGTCCTGTGCTCCACCTGGCAACCCTTCTTGCTCCCACCTAATCGCCTCACCCCTTACTTCAAGTAGGGTGGCAGTAGGTTGCCTGCGCACCATCTGTTTCAGCTCATGACATAGGGCACCATCTAGGACATGCTCAACAAAATGGTCCCTCAGCAAAACGTCAACATTCAATGTACTACTGGGTGCACGCTGCTTCACTTCTCCATGAGGCTCATCAAAGAGAGGGAAAACTCTTGCAGTGTCTCCCCCTCTTGTTGCCTTCTGGAAACGAAAGCCTTCTGCAAGGCTACATATGGCTCTGAGCACCCATACAACTCCTGCAACACAGCAATTATATAGGCTGGATGGAAAACCTGGAAAAGTTTTGGAATTTTGAAATAATTTTTCCAGGCCCTGGATAAGTTTTGGAATTCTTGGATAGAGAGGATAAGTTATGGAAAAGTTTTGGAAACTAGCCTTGTTAATTTTTTTCTCGCGTTCTGCTACGCGCTAACAGAAATGTACGAGTGGAAGTCAATAGTTAACTACCTTGGTAAACATCCGTTTCCGCGCAGATTTCACGTATTTGAGATCGCTGCTTTTTTGCTCGTTATTCCAGTTTCTATGGTTTTATTTATTTTTTGCACGTATTTAAATTTTATTGATCAGTTTCCCATTTTTGACTCTGTTTGCCTCTACCAATCATAAGGTACATATAATTTTAATATTGGGATTAATTTTCTTAATTGAACGCTATTTGCACATTGGCGAAAGTTGTCCACTGTCTGTGTTTATTTGGTAAGTAGACTGGCTATTATCGTACCGAAAATTGTAGTATTACTGTTGTGCCGTATGCGGGACGCGGAGCGGAAACAGAGGAGCGGCGGTCAGGAAATCGGGGAACACGGGGTTTAATTAAAAAAGGCAGGCAAGAAAACACGCAGTGACATTACAATGACCGGACTGGGGAAACAAAGTGAAACGCGGACTAAATACAGAGGACTAATGACAACAACCAGAAACAGCTGATCACACGGGGATTCCACAAGAGGTTAACGAGAGGGCGTGGCACACAGAAGGAGCGGATGATCGTGGCAGGACAATTACTATCTGAAACTGCATGATCATCAAATCAAAGCAAACTTGTGGGTTTTGGAAATTTTTCTTGTGGTACTGGAAAAGTTTTGGAAAAGTCATGGAAAATTATTCTGCCAGAACTGGGGGAACCCTGCCCTGTTCTGCACTACAGCGGTACTTTATCTCATCATGAGCTTTGCCGTCTACATGATCAAACAGAAAGAAAGCCTGATCAGACACAGTTAAATGTCAAGCCATCATGCGTGCTTGTACCTCCTCAAGCCACTTACTTAACCGTATACCAGAACGTCCTTTGAACATGGGGCATTTCCGCTCCAGAGGCACAAAAACCAATCTTTCTGTAGCAGGTACTACACTGTAAAAAAAGAAAAAGTTGAGAAAACTTAAAATTTCAAGGCAACATGATGCAAAACATTTTTGAGTGTTCTCAAATTTTACAAGATGATGACTTAACTTAAGTTTTCAAGTTCTTCCAAGAGTTCTACAAACTTGGATCTTCTTCTTCAGCCAATAAGGATAACCCCATGAGGCTAACATAGAAATTCTTTCTTCAATGCTATGAATTTCTACGTCCTACAAATGCAGATATTCTTCTATGGCATGTATTCCTACAGTCACCAAACATAATTATTTGTGTTGAATAAACATACATTTTACCTTTGTATATCAAGGAAAATATGTGCTACTGTACATATATACTGTAAACAAAGACTACAAATGAATGTTATCCTAAATATTCAGTTTAACAGTGAGCATAGGTTAAGTGCCTCAAATAAAACATTTTTTTTTTTTTAACAGAAGATGTCTTGTCATATTACAGTATTATAAAATGTACCCTTCAAGTTCTGCTGCCCTCAGTTAAATGTATGGCTATTCAACCTATGCAGCGAGCTTAACATAAAGGAGATGGTTCCAGGAACGACAGGACACGTCGCTTTGTCTTTGTATCTCTAACTGAAGACCGTTTCTCCTCTTTTAATTTGTAAGACTGTGAACATACAGTAAAATAATACATAAGCATCAGCATCGACTTATTTTGTACCCAAAAACAGTAGTTAGCAACGTAGCTCTTCATCCGCTTTACATCCACCATAAACATTTTTTCTTATAAGTTCAAATAACCTCATAAGTAATAAGAAAGTAACAAATCTTACAGAAAATAAAGCTACACATTGATTACTTACAGATTATGGCTCAACGAACTCCCCAACAATGTAAACTAGGCTTAAAGTTGTGAAGCTTGTTTGCTCCTCCCGGCATTCTCGCACACAAAAAATAACTAAAGAAGAAACCACAAAACTCAAGGGGTAATACTGCCCCCTAGTGGGAAAACTGAGAAATGCACCAGCCAAAGAAACCCAATAAAACAACAAGAGAAGGGCAGAATACTCCCCGCCTGACATCCGTGGAATGTCATCCTCAACCGACATGCAAAGGCAAGTGAAATACAAAGATACAAAATTTCTGCTTTTAAGTACAAACATTAGACACCAATAACACAACCTCACTTATAGGCCTTATGTAACACCCGTGTGCACCCTTGCGGCAAATCTTCACCTCTGTTTTCCTCACAAGCCCATCCTCACTGGGAAAGGTTTTGGTGATGAGTCCAAGTGGCCAGTTGTTCCTATGGTCGAGTGCCTCTTTTAAAAGAACAATATCTCCTGTTTGTAGGTTAGGCTTTACTGTTTTCCATTTGCGGCGGTCCTGAAGTCCTGAGATATATTCTTTTTCCCATCGTCTCCAGAAGACATCAGCAAGGTATTGCACGCGCCTCCATTGGGCTTTGAACAGATCACTGTTGTCAAACTGACCTGGTGGGATTGGTGGAGTCGCAACCTTTTGCGTGAGCAACATGGCATGGGTAAGGATGACTGGGTTATCTGGATCTGCAGAAACTGCTGTTAACGGACAAGCATTCACTATAGCAGTGACTTCAGCCATTAACGTCACCAGTATTTCATGGGTAAGCTTTGCATTCCTGTGTTCTAGGAGCATCGCATCAAGGATTTTACGCGTGACCCCAATCATGCGCTCCCAGAAGCCAGCCAGATGCGACGCATGAGGGGGGTTGAAAATCCATTTGCAGCCAGAATCTTCAAGAAAGCTGTTTAGCTTGCTGTTGTAGCAGTCTTGTTTGTCTATTTGCAGCTCTTTGCAGGCACTCGCAAAATTTGACCCACAATCCGACCTAAGAAGTTTGACTGCACCTCTAATGGCAAAAAACCAACGCAGGGCATTGATGAATGACGACGTGTCCATTGATTCTACAACTTCAATGTGAATGGCCCGTGTGCTCATGCACGTGAATATGACTGCCCATCGCTTTGCATCCGCCTGTCCACCACGTGTTTTTCTGACAGTGACAGGCCAAGGCCCGAACACATCAAGCCCTGCATGTGTAAAAGGAGGGTCAGTGGACAGCCTGTCCTCTGGTAGCTCAGACATAATCTGTTCCTGCTGTCTGCCTCTTAGCTTTCGACAAGTCACGCAGTTGAATATCATTTTGTTTATTGCTCTTTTCCCTCCCACAATCCAAAAGCCTGCAGCTCTGACTGCCCCTTCAGTAAAATGTCTGCCCTGATGGCATACTTTCACATGAAAGTGTCTTATAATGAGCTGGGCAAGGTGGTGTTTTGCAGGGATGAGGATAGGATTTGCTTCATCTGAAGTCAACTGTGCTCGTCTTAGTCTCCCACCCACTCTGAGGATTCCATTTGTGTCAAGAAATGGATTCAGTTTGCTAAGTGGGCGTGAACATTTGAGGGGCATACTTTTTTCAAGCTGTCTTATGTCCTCTGCATAGACTTCTCTTTGGGCAGTGCGAATGATAATGGTCTTAGCTTGACCAAGCTGCTCCTCCGTTAAATGCTCCCTACAGCTGTGCCAGCCCTGACAGGAGCCTTCTATGTTCTGCTTAAAAGACTGAACAATGTGTCGGAGTTTGGACATAGCTTTCAGTAGCACATTCCAACTTGAAAACTTTTCGAATCTGGCACTACTGAGAACATCCTTTGCAAGAGTGGTAGCACAAGTAGTTACCTCATGCCGCAGTTCATTGTCAGTCTCCGGATCTACAAGATCAAACGACTCTGTCTGAAATTGACCTATTCCTGACTTGGTAAGAAAAGCGGGTCCACTGAGCCATGTGGAAGTAGAAAGCTGCTCAGCAGGTAATGCGCACGTGGCATGATCAGCAGGATTTAAGTGAGTGGGCACATAATGCCACTGGTGGGCTTGTGTAGATCGCCTAATACGTTCCACTCTGTTGTGCACATAGATGCGAAAACGCCTCTTTGTGTTGAAAATGTAACCGAGGACTACTTTGGAGTCTGAATAGAAGCTCACCTGATCAACTGCGATGTCCAGCTCGTCCATGACTAACTCTGCCATCTCGACAGCCAGGACCGCTGCACAGAGCTCAAGTCTGGGTATGGTGATGTCTGGTCTTGGGGCAAGCCGTGCCTTGCCGAGAAGGAAGCCCACTTCATTATGACCATCTCTGTCTGTGAGTTTAAGGTAGGCAACGGCGCCCACTGCCTTGGTAGAGGCATCACAGAAAACATGGATTTCCTTAGTTACTGCTGCAGACAGTGGTATTGACATGAACATTCTGGGGATCTCCAGTTGTTGTAGATGTTTGAGGGAGTGTTTCCACTGTTGCCACTGTTGTAATTTGTCTTTAGGGAGTTCAGTGTCCCATTCACAAATGTCAGTGGAAATGTCTCTGAGTATGACTCTGCCCTCTACAATGACAGGGACAGCAAAGCCAAGTGGGTCATACACACTATTAACGACTGACAATACTCCACGCTTAGTGAAGGGCTTCTCATTGACAGTTATCTGGAACTTGAATAAGTCTCTAGACAGGTCCCAGCCCAAGCCCAAGCTTCGCTGCATGGGTGGGATAGTCTGGCCAAGGTCAAGGCCCTGCATGTCAGCTGCAAGATCCCCACTTGGAAAAGTGTTTGTGATGGTGGGACAGTTGGAAGAGATTTTATGCAGGCGTATGTTACACTGAGCCAGCATCTTCTGAGACCTACAGAGAATGTTAATGGCCTCATCAGCAGAAAGGAATGATTTTAGTCCATCATCCACATAAAAGTGGCGTTCAATGAACTCTCTTACATCATTACCGTGTTCTTTTTCTCCCTCCATCGCTGTTCGTTTCAGTCCATAAATAGCCACTGATGGGGAGGGGCAGTTCCCGAATACATGGACTCTCATCCTGAATTCCTGTACTTCTCCATCCAGATCATGGTTTTTAAACCACAAGAAACGAAGGTAATTGCGGTGGTCTTCTCTGACAACGAAATTGTAAAACATCTGCTCCACGTTGGCCATGACTGCGTATGGGTCGGACCTGAAACGTATCAGCACACCCACAAGAGTATTATTGAGATTTGGCCCTTTTAGTAGCACATCATTGAGAGAAACATTGTTATATTTCGCACTCGAATCAAAAACCACCCTAATTTTCCCTGGCTTTTGAGGGTGGTAAATTCCAAAACTAGGGAGATACCAACATTCTTGTTCTGGAGCTAGAGCTGGAGCTGGTTCCGCGTGGCCCTTACTGAAAGTTTTGTCCAAAAACTCAATGTAATGCTCCTTCATTTCTGATTTCCTTTTCAGCGTTTTGCGGAGTGACATTAAGCGACTGAGGGCTTGGTCCCTATTGTTGGGTAAACGCTGTCTGGGGGAGCGGAATGGGAGTGGAGCTACCCAATTGTTCGCCTCATCTTTAGTGAAGTCTCTGTGCATAATTTCCAGGAACAAAGCATCTTCTACTGAAAGAGCCGCTTTGTCATCATCCACTGTTTGCTGGAAAATGTGTCTGCCTAATTCCGCTTGTGTCTTCTCAAATGTAGAACGGCTTTCTGTGTATTTGTCTTTGATATAGATTTTGTTTTCACAGGGGTTAAGGAAGGTCGGATGCCCGTTATTAAGAATGTCTGTCTTAAAGGAGTTTACTGTGGGTTTGTGAGTTTACTGAGAGGCAGACATCGCCTACGACCACCCATCCCAAATCGAGGCGTTGGGCATAAGGTGCACTGTTTGGATCGTTTACCTGACCGCAAACCTTGTGAGCTTGGATGATGTCCCGGCCCAAGAGGAGGAGAATGTCCGCGGCTGGGTCCAGAGGAGGGATCTGTGAAGCCAGTGCCTGTAGATGAGGGTGAGCCAACGCAGCCTCAGAGGTGGGTATCTCACCTCTATTATCTGGAATGTGGTCGCATTCTGTCAGGGTGGGCAGCAACATGGATACTTTCCCATTTACGTCCTGAATAACAAAATCAGTTGCTCTGCGTCCTCCAGCCTCTGATAAACCTGCACATGTTTTCATGGTGTATGGGAGCATAGTGCTATTCACATTAAACATGTCGAAAAAAGCAGACCTGGCTAAGGATGAATTGCTTTGATCATCCAACATGGCGTACATCCTCCTTTTCTCTTCAGGGTTTGTGCAGGGATACACGTCGACTAAACAAATCTTAGAGCAGGATTTACCCTTCAGGCCTGGGCCACACACTTCTGTGCAAGTAGTTGTGGTTACAGAGCTTGAAGTATCGGCCTCTCCGCCTTGGCTTTGAGGCAGGAGAATAGGGTCCTTGGTTGTCCACGGAGGTGGACCAGCATGCATGGCAGCCACGTGAGCATCACTATTACATTCTGAGCATTGGATAATGGCTTTGCAATCTTTAGCACGGTGACCTGTAGAAGAACAACACATAACAAATAGCATGTTCTTTGAGGATGCTTTTTCTTTCATCTAATGTTTTTGACCTAAAACCCCTGCATTTGGCAAGTGAATGGGGCTTGCGGTGAATAGGACATTGTTTGTCTGGGTTGAGAACAGATGTTTGAGCTGTGACGTTTGTTTGACTAATATCTGTTCTATTCACTGCAACCTGCACTCTGTATTTAGTTGGTTTCACCAATGGCTTATCAGGTTTTGGAGCTACTATGTTTGAACTGTGTAACATAAAGCTAGGATCTGTTTTCATTTCTGCATAATCATTTATAAACTGAACAAAATATGAGAAAGGTGGGTAAACTGCACCATTGTCCCTTTTGTATTTTGTCCCCTGTTTCACCCAGGACTCCTGGAGTCTGTAGGGGAGCTTTTCAACTATCGGGTTTATTCCCCTTGGGGTGTCCAGAAAGCTAAGGCCTGGTAGATAATTTTCACTTTGTGCATATTCTAACTCCAACAGGAGATCTGCAAGCTCCTGCAATAAGTGAGTGTCCTTATTAGATACTTTTGGAAAAGACTGTAAGCGTTGGAAAAGTGATGCTTCGACTACCTCTGGAGAACCAAAACTTTTGTCTAGACGTTGCCACAAACGTTGAAGACCTGCTTGTGGGTTGTTCACATGGACCGCCCTGATCCTCAGAGCATATTGGAGTGACTCCCTGCAGAGCCACATGGTAAGGAGGTCGAGCTCTTCGCTGGACTTGAGGTTGAGGCCTTCTATGGCGTTGCGGAAGATGGACCTCCAGGACAAGTAAGATTCAGGACGGTTGTCGAAGACCTTGAATCCCGCTGCCAACAGGTCACGGCGTGCTAGGTAGGCTGTAAAATCTGAGAGTTCAGTCTGTGGAGGCATTGAAGGTTTAGGCTGGGTTGAAATGTCGGTTTTTCTGCGTGTAGGAGGGGATTTTGGTTGCTCCTGCTCTACAAAATCAGTGAGATGTTCACCTGGAGAGGGGGCAACTGGTGGTTGACGCTGTTGTAGATGCTGAGCGTCATAATTACTGACCAGTTGTCCTGTATCAGGTTTTCTGTCTTCATTAACTTCCAAGCTGCAGTTGGCGAAGTGAGCGTTCACATAATCGCGAGCGCGTCTGATGGAAGGAGGCGTGATAGATGTAGACTCCTTGTTCTGTGAGGTCGACGGCGTCA